AAAAATAACACGAAGATGGGAATGAGTGAGCAGACTCCACATGAATGTAGAATTTATTCCCTTGTTTAACCCTTGAAAGAAAACTTTCCATGATGAATAATGTTCAATCTCATAATGTAATAAGGTTAGTTTGAACTTGAGCCCATAAAAGTGCCTCATGTAAGGAGTTGTACATTTCACACATGCATCCAAAAAAAAAAAAAAAAGACCCATTCCCAAATATTATGCTGAGGCTTTCCAAATGAAATTCCCCTACTGGCAATCACACTCAACTGCTGTCAAAAAGCTCCATGTTTCATTTTTAATCACAGAGGTTTCTAAAAATGGACATCTGCTGCTGGTGAATGTGAGGAATGTGACAGAACTGATATGATAGTCAATTTTCACTTGATGTTCAATGGCAGAATGCTGAGCCCCATTACATGCGTGTTTTACAGTTATAATAATAAACACATCTGTGGCAGTGTGCATGTTTGCTTAGGAGATTACAGTGCTTTATTCCTTAGCAAAACAGTGTTTATGAGTGATTTGGGATTTTGGTTGAAAATACAACAATGATGCAGCTAAATCAATAACAAAACCACATGGAAATACAACAATGTCAAATGTAAAGAATAACATTGCATTGCGTGTGATTATTCTTTCCACAGAAAAACAATACAAACTTCACATCAGCCTAAACACCACTTTACTCCCTCACTGGGCTATTTTTGGTTCATTGACATCATCAGTGTGTGGCAACACAGAAAGGCATTTTCTGGATAACTTTGAACCTCTGGGAATCTGCTACAAGAAACTTCTTGTAGATCTACAAGATGTTTTCTCCTAAAAATGTTCAGTTTGTTACAACGGAGGCAGAAATCTTTTGGAATCACGAATACATTTACATTTAGTAATTTAGCAAACGCTTTTATCCAAAGTGACTTACAAATGAGGACAATAAAAGCAGTCAAAACTAACAAAAGAGCAGTCTCGGTTAGCCTAACGCAGGTACAATAAAGGCAGTCAAAACTAACAAAAGAGCAACAATATATAAGTGCAAATGACAAGTCTCGGTTAGCCTAACGCAGTACACTTAGCAAGGTGTATATATATACTGTATATATATTATACACATACACACACACACACACACAAAGAAAAACAAGTAGATAGAATAGAAAAAATTGAATAGAAAAATATAAATATATATTTTTTTTAAATAAAAAAAAGAAGATAAATGTAGATAAAGTAGAATTAAAATAGAATAGAAAGTGCTAGAGTTAGAGCGTCAAATAAAGGTGGAACAGATGTGTTTTTAGTCGTTTCTTGAAGATGGCTAAGGACTCAGCTGCTCGGATTGAGTTGGGCAATTGGTTGGAATACAGAGATCTGGTTCTGTTTAAGTGAGAAACCAACCCCTATAGTGTTTCGTTTTTTTTTTACATAAATTCTTCGGCCATTCCAACCCAAACGCACCCCAGTGGAACATCAGCACCTTGTCTGAAGAACAAACACACATGTCTCAAATAGGTCAACACATGGTTTACCCTGCCAAGTCCCACAGAGCATGTTTATTTATAAGAGGAGCTCATTCTTCGACTAACGCAGGAGACGGTTTACTGTTATTATAGGTAATTCCTTTGAGGTGATGTGAGGCAGGGAACAGGGAATCTTACTCGTAAAGAAAGACTTCTGTACAAAATAATAGGCTGTGAAAAAAAAGACTTGATTCTAAAATATCCTGCTCGTTGTGAGCTAGGCTGAGACGCAGGAGCCCTAAAAATATTTGGACCCTTAAAGGAACACTCCATTATTTTTGATTTTCTGGCGGTAGCACTTCTAGCTGTAGCTTAGCATAGATCATTGAATCTGATTAGACCGTTAGCATCTCGCTCAAAAATGACCAAAGAGTTTCGATATTTTTCCTATTTAAAACTTGACTCTTCTGTAGTTACATCGTGTACTAAGACCGACGGAAAATTAAAAGTTGTGATTTTCTAGGCCGATATGGCTAAGAACTATCCTCTCATTCCGGTGTAATAATCAAGGAACTTTGCTGCCGTACCATGGGTACAGCAGGCGCACTGATATTACGCAGCACCTGAAAATAGTCCCCAGCTAGGTAACTTCCATTAAGCCTTTTTTCAGGCGCTGTGTAATATCATTGCGCCTGCTGCACCCATGGTACGGCAGCAAAGTTCCTTGATTATTACACCGGAATGAGAGTATAGTTCTTAGCCATATCGGCCTAGAAAATCGCAACTTTTCATTTTCCGTGAATGATCTATGCTAAGCTACATCTAGAAGTGCTACCTCCAGACCCAGAGATCGGCTGAATGGATTCGAAAACGGTAAAACTCAACTGTTTAACTCTAGGGGAGTTGGAAAATGAGCCCATTTTCAAAAATAGTGGAGTGTTCCTTTAAGTCTCCTTAAAAATGTATGTGTCTTTGCATTATAATATTAAAAATATTAAACCAAGTGGCATTATGTTGTGCTATTCAAGCAAATGTTTCTGCAAAAAGACATTTGTAATATTTTATATTGTAAAACAATATATGGTTAAAAATATTCAGACACTTTCTGGATGTCAAACATTAATGAAACATGTCTATAGTTAATATGATTAACTATATTCATTCAATTTTTTTTATATATTACTGACAAAAACTCATAATTTGCACCTTAAACTGCAGATTACAGTTTCATATGAACAAAAAGGCAGTAATTACAAGCCTGAAGTACAACATACAGCACAGGTAACTATAAGCTGTATGTGTTTGATATCACTAAAGAACAAGCTCAAAAGAATCATTTGTTCAGGAATCAGACTACACTGGTTGCTGTGTATGGTTTTAATTCCCTAAAAAGAATGGTTCATAAGAATAATTTGTTCGGGAATCAGATTACAGTGGTTGTACTGTATGTTTTTGATTCACAAAAAAGAATCAGAATCGGACTACACAGTTTGCACTGTGTGGTTTTGATTTACTGAAACAAACCAACTCAATAATAATTTGTTCTGGAATTGGACCACACTGGTTGTACTGTATGTTTTTAAGAATCAGAATTATAAGAGTTATAAGAATCATAATTTTTTCTCATATGAGAACATCATTCAGATCTGGATGAACTAGATGCTTTTTTTCTCTTTCGTTTTTCAGTTTCCAAACCTGGAAAAAATGATTACTTCCCCCACATTTGTTTGCAAATGTCACTGGGTTTGATATTTTGCATCTGATTCAAATACATTTACACATTTAGTTTAAAAGTGTCCAAAAACACTTGTTGGGGTCGCTGTTAATGTCACATCCAACAATCTAATAATAAAACTCTATCACACTCAACAAAATACATCTAGCTTCCTCCCAGCCCCAAATCTTCTCTTACCTGAGCAGAGCTCTCCTTTGTACCGCAGGCAGGTGAAATCGTCACACTCACACCTCTTCCCCCACACCTTGCCGAAATCATTATTGTGGCACACGCACTGGCCGCACACACAGTCTCCACGGCCACTGCAGACCACTTTGTCTGGCCCGGTGCAGGCGTCCTGCTCGGTGGGGCTGTAGTCCCCCTCTGCACACTCACACCTAGGACCCAATCGTCCCGGGTTGCACAGGCAGATACCACACTCGTAGGTGCCGTTGCCGTGGTGACAGGCGGGACTGTCGGGCTCCGCCTTAGCTTGGCATTTACCGGTACACTCACACTCAAAGTTGACTGTGATCTGCAAGGTGTCTTTGAAGCCCACCGGTTTGATGGTGAAGGTCTTGCACTTCTCTTTAGGACAGCCCCTGGCCCGGGCTTCTACACTGAAAGACACCTGGGAAGATGGGATTGAGGGAGTGTGGAGTTGTTACAGAACACTGGTGTTCACAAATATAAATTATTATTATACATTACAAATTTGTACTGTAGGACCAAAACAGGCTTCAAAGGTTTGTGGTGAGATTTTTATTTTTGAAGAAAAATAATACTTTTGATCAGGAAGGATATAGTAAATTGATCAAAGGTGACAAAAAATGATCATGGTTTCCACAACAATATTAAGTAGCACAATTGTGTTCAACATTGATAATAATATATATTTCTTGAGCTCCAAATCAGCATATTAGAATGATTTCTAAATTATCATGTGACACTGAAGACTGGAGTAATGGCTGGGAATAGAAATAAATAAAACAAAAATATTTAAAAATAGGAAATAGGTATTTTAAATGGTAAATATTAAATATGAAATATTTTACAATATTACTGTATTTTAGATTAAATAAATGCAGCCTTTGTGAACATAAGAGACTTCTTTCAAAAATATTATAAAATCTAATGGACTCTAACCTTTGAATGGTAGTGTATATTCAGTAATATTTAAATAAAACAAATATTTTAGTAACACTTTATAGACCAATTCTCACTATTAACTAGTTGCTTGTTAGCATGCATATTATTGGCTGTTTATTAGTACTTATAAAGCACATCCATATATTAGATCCCTAAATCCTACCCCATACCTAAACTTAACAACTACCTTACTAACTATTAAGAAGCAGCAAATTAGTAGTTTGTTCAGGGAAAACACTTAGTTAATAGTGAATATGTGTTCCCTATTCTAAAGTTTTACCAATATTTTAATATTAAAAATGTATACATTAAATATAATTTAATTTAATTAATTACATTTAATCTAAATCTATTTTATAATAATGTCAAATCACTACTTTACTGGTCTTTCACAGTAATGTAATGTTTTTAATGTAATTCACCATTTTTTATATATATAATTATTTTAATTGAATTTTTACTGTAATACAAAAATAACAAGACATCGCCCAAAAGAAACAAAACACAAATAGCTTAATATTTTTTTCTGGCAGCAAAGGAGAGAATATTATACAATTTCTTGTTAGCAGATGAAACAATGCATTTATTAGGTATACCTAATACCAATGAGACTGGGTCAATATCCAACTGCATATTAAAGATCTTTTCCATTTCCCCCAGCACCAAAAACCAATACCTTTGCAGTCTGTTACATGACCACAGACAATGTGTTAAAGTACCTACTTCCGTTTTACATTTTAAACACATAGGCAATAGAGAGGGGTTGTAATTCACCATTTGAAGACTTGGTTTTTGTAAGTGAAAAGCATTGAATTTATTTAATACACGAGTTTCACAATTTGAGTTGAATTACTGAAATAAATGAACTTTTCCACGACATTCTGATTTATTGAGATGCACCTGTAATATAATATAATACAATGATTGCAAATAAAATAATATTTGTGTAGTTTCATATTTCTAATGGAGATGTTTAGCCATTATGTACATGACATATGTGAGTCTTATTCCATTGCTGACAGTGAGTGTGTAGGCTGCCTAACATGTGATTGTGTTGGACTGACAGACAATCTGAACTGAAGGCTGGTTAGTGTGAGTCAGAGCAGCAGGGCAGAGAACAGGAAACAGGCAAGTCTGATGCCTAGACACACTCAGAAAAATGAGTAACGGCACAGTTACACCCACTTGTCCTGTATGTAAGATTTTACAGTTAACCATTTATAAGGAAGGGAGTAAAACCACAACATTTTATGCAACTCATTTATCAAGGAAGGCTAATGATTGCACATTAGAAAGGACATTTCCTGTGCTCCTCTTGTGGAATACATGTCAAAACGTCAGAATGGGTATATGACTGAAAAGATGGAAGTGGCCAAACTGACCCTAGGGGAGTTTTGGGATAAGAGGTTTTGTTAAGTAATACCATATATTTTAGAGTGAGAATAAAGTGGCAACATGAGATTCGAATAAGGTGGATGGAGAATATTAAAGAGACAGACAGAACGAGATAAAGAGAGAAGAGAATACTGACGGTGTCTCCTCTTTTGAGGCCAGAGCAAGATCTTAGCCCAGGGATGACCTCTCCATTGAGACATGTGGCATTAAATGTCAGACTGAGCTCTTCCGGGATATTCAAGAGCTCCAGCTCAACCTTAGAACGCAGTTTCTTTAACACAAACACACAAGCACAACAGCAAACAATAGATCAGTGACCGCAAACAATTTGAATGGAGTAAAGCCTTTTAAAGGAATGTTTCAGGTTTAACACAAGTTCAACTCTATTGTTAGCATATGTGGCATAATGTGGATCACCACAGAAAATAATTCTAACTCATTTTTGAAAGAAAAAATTATTGTCCAAGTCTATTGCCCATTTTCAATATTAATGTATAGAAATGTGTAATATAGATGTACAGCATGAAGTGCAGCTCTTAAAGAAGTTACTTTCAAAAATAGTTTGTTCCTGTTAGTTACTGTGGTGAGTTTGCATGACCAACTTGAACATGAGCAAAATTTAACTTCAACTTCTTGTATTGCACCCAGAAATTCCTTTTTGTAAATGTAAAAAGGGACATTACAGCGTATGCATCTTGAATCAGCTGGATGACGTTATGAGAGTCCTCGGAAAGCGTGCCCACTGCAGTGCCAGGGATCAGCTCACTGTAGTTCTACAATGGATAAAGAGAGAGAACGAAGGGAGAAATCTTTGAAAGTACCCTAAAAATCAGATTAGACATTTACCATACTGATTTACAGTAACATTTAATACCCTTCTTACCGTATAGAGTGATTCCACATGGCTAGTCACAGCAAAGATGAGATTTATATTGTTCTCTGACATTTTCTCTGTGATTAATGCCAGGGATGGGTAGTCCTGAAAAAATGTTATCCATTAGTATGCATAAATAAAGGTAATCTAAACTTAATTTAATAGGTTTCATACCCAGTGCACACCTTGATATCAATTTAACGTCAAATATTAGTCAAGACTTGATCAAGATGCTGGAACATTTTAAATTCGGTTTGGATGGCAATTTCTTAATGGTAATTGGCTGAAAATAGGAAGTTAATCCCACACTGAAATTGGTTTAATGTATATGTAGGCCAATATGTTTGACATTCAACTGACATCAAATCAACTTCATTAGCAGTTTGATTAGCAGAATACCATAGTTGTAGACATATTGTAGACATTATCTGTGCCCACATAACATTGGCCGTCATTGGGTCGTACAATGCCTGCCAGGCGCCCATCGAGTGCCACGTGTGTCTTGGCATCTGTGGTGAAAACCAGTAAGTGAGATGCGCCTGGTCTCCAACCAATTTTCTCCTGGGAGAAAGACATAAGTGGTCAAATAAGAACGCTTATTTTGGGCCAAAAATAACAAAAAGCTACTTAGGAAAGTATTGTAAAGTTCTCTGTATTTCTTTTTGCTTGTTTAGAGAGTTCAACCTTGCACACAGCTGCCTGTATAATGGCGTCAAAGCCTCCCTCTGGGGCGTCCCTGTTCCGAGACACCTTCTGTTTCTTCACTTCCTCTGTAAAGCGGCTGACCTCCTCCGTCAGAGACAGAACGTGTCTGTAGCCAAACTGAGGCTGGCATTTGTATGGGATCCTATGGTAGATAATGTAGTAAGATGTAGAAGGATCAGAAAATAACATTAACAGTGAGAAAGTTCAGGAAGTTACAATATACAGTACAAATGGGCTACTACTATTACTGTGTAACTCTGCCAAGCCTGATGGGTAGTGTTGGTTATTCACCTTTGCTGGCACAAATGAATCTCAACATTCAAGATTTAGAAAACAGCTTACAGCATAACACTTATTGTGTATGTAACTCAGCAAATGGAGACACTTCAACCATAATAGCAGTGTGTCTAAAGATGTAATATCAGATTGTGTCAGCCAACAAGCACACCGCCCAGTTACAAGTTTGTAATAAACACCCATCATCTGTAATGTTTATGTTCAGCATGTAAATATATGTCATCACTCACGAGTAACAGGGATTTAACACGGCTTCTTGAGGTGAGATGTACATGTACGGGGACACGGGTTTATCCACAAAAGCCCCAAAGCCCATGCGTAGATTGCTGGTGGTTTTACTCATCTCTTCAGCCAGGCCTCGCCCCAGTCGTCGCAGCTGAGACAGGTCGTCATTCATGGAATAGGACAAGTCCATCAGATAATACAAGTCCACAGGGTAGTCCTCAACCTGACGGACTTTCAGTGTGAAGACCTGGGAATCATCTGTGGGACACCAGAGAAACAATTTGGTCTACTGGAGGAACATGTGGTTACTTTTTATGTTTATGGGTTGATGAACTCACCGGGTCTCAGAGAGATGTGCATGCTTTGAGGTTGGATTTGGGTGATGTCGGTGGTGGATCCCGAGGCCTTGTCACTGAGATCTTTGTTCTCTGTCACATGCATTTTGCTGGTGGGATACTCCAGAGCTTCTTTTCTGCATCCTGCCTCTATGAGGTTCTTCTTCAAGTCACATCGGGAGGAACCAGCTACATCTTGTCCAAAACCCTACTAAGCATTTGGCAGACAGTTATACTGGTATAGGGCACTAAATAAAGATTTCTGCAGCAAACAGAATTACAAAAATAAGTTTCAAACACTCCCCTCATTTGCCATTGGTCGAATAAATAAGTAGTCTTGACCCCCAAATTTTTATGTACATTAATGAGGAAAAAAAATTAAAGGGGGTCTGAATACTTTCCGTACCCACTGTATATATTTTTTTTTTTGTATTGAGACATCACTTAGAAAAAACAATTGCTGGATTTTTCATCACAGCACAGTTCTTATTTTACTTCCAGAATATCAAAAAGTTATAATACACGACTCACACATTTATGAGATAAGTACATGCATTTTAGAATAACAATACAGACAAAAACAAAGGAAGACTTGCTATCCATTCCATTCCATTTTTCCTCTTAATAAAGATACAATGGTTGTAATGCTCAAATACTGGCATTGAAAACATTTTATATTGTTTCCATAAAACATTTGCTTTTTTTTAAAGAAAAAAGCATGTAATTGATTGTTTTTGTGAATTATATATCCATTCATGTTTCTTTTTTAAACTTTGAATTATTTATTAACAATAATTTATTGTGAGCTCTGATTTTTGTTTTTTAAATGTCATAACTCATTTTTCTGTGAAATCTCTTTCTTACAACCAGCTGCTAGCTCACATTCAGATCTGCCTCCATCCAATCAAAAACTGATGGATAGATAGATGTACTTAACAATAAGGAAGAGAAGATCTGTCGCTACTTCAGTTTCACAGTTTCAACGGGTCTTTAAAAATGTCACTGACTACTCTGGTGGATGATGTGGACCATGTGGAGGATTGTTGTAATTGCTTCAAAGTTGCAAAATTATGTTTTATCAGAAGACAAAACAACTCCTTGACCCAAAGATGAGTCAGTCTACTTCAGTGTTATTAAGCCTATTTAATCTTCACTGAGTCATGATCTGAGCACTGGAGTATACCCCTTATTAAAAAATATTTTTACTAACACACACACACACATGCTGGTATGTGTGGTTTACGGGGACTCTCCACAGGTGTAATGGTTTTTATACTGTACAAACTGTATTTTCTGTCCCCCTACCAACCTTACCCCTAAACCTACCCCTTACAGGAAACTTTCTGCATCTTTAGATTTAAAAAAAAACATAATTTCGTGTCCTCATAAACCACCTTCACATTGTAATACCTACAGTATGTCATACCCATGTCATTATACAAACTTGTGTCCTCAAAAACTACCTAAACGGATACACACACACACACACACACACACACACACACACAGTACTACGACCTAAGATTAGTCTGATTCTTCTATCGATCATACAGCTCTCCACTCCATCCTATAATAAAATCTAAAGTAAACATGTTTCAGCTCAGTCATTAAACATTGCAGACCACCACACCTCTTGAAAACACCAGGCACAGGTAGGATGCACTGCCAGGCACTGCTGACATGTGCTGGCTCCTCGAGAAGTACAGATGTTGGAGCCTGGGAGAAAAAGAAAAAGAAAAATGCTAATTGTTGATCTCCAGTTGCATTTAACTTGTAGCCTGCAGGTTTATAGAAACAGAAACATGTCTAATCATTAAGATCAGAATTATTAACTCCATTTGTAGGGAGTATTTAAACGATCAGTGTGTATCAATATTTTTGAGCTGTTCTGCACCAGACAAAACATTTCATAAACAGAAAAGTTCATAAAGTTCACATACACATATCAGACTTTTATTAGACCTGGGCCAAGTAGCATAAAAATAGTCACTATGTTAAGACTTTGTTTTAAGAAATCGTTTGACCACCTAGCAGTTAGCCAAGAGGTATGCCTAATCAGTCTTACTTTTCTGACTCAAATTGGGCCAATCTAACTTTTTGTAACTGACTTTGTAAAGTTATGACCAGTTTTGAAGAAAACAAATTAGATGACTAAATTTTTAAGGCTAGTCTAAGCAATTTATGCAACCGGCCCCTGTCAGATACTCTGGGTATAAAGAGTCAAGAGAATAAACAAAAGTATTTGCCAAATATTTTATAGTGGGAAAAAATGTGGGTCCATATAGTGCATCTAGCAAATAGGCCTAATGTTGATGTTTTAGGGAAAGAAAGAAAGAAAGAAAGAAAGAAAGAAAGAAGCATTCTAGCATCTTCATCCGCTGCCTTCAACAACATCACGAGTTCAGACATAAAATATATCAAAATATGATAAAATATCAAAATGCGATCAGACAAGGCAAAAAGTTGTTTACATGACACAAGCTATAAAACAAGTTTACTGAAAACTGAAAAGACGGGACGTACCTAGTCCAGCATCAGTTAAGAATACAATCACACAATAAATCCATAAACTGAAGAGTTTGGGTGAAGTTTTCTCCATCTCGGTTAACTTGTCAGTCAGTTGATAAAGGCGTTTATCGCTCTTCTCCGCTAGTACACCGGCGGTTAGTGCAGTCTGTGCCCTCCTCCTCTTCCTTTTCCTTTAGGCTCCAGCAAATCAGACCAACATCAAATATAGAGTAAATTGTGGCAAAACAGGGTTTATTTCCGAGAGAGGGGGCAGAGGAGAGGCCGACTCGAGAACATTTGCCGCAGGTCTTGTTTAGAAACCGTAAATTCCTTCAAACTATCACAGTGATTAAAACATCACTGTAACGGTATTAACATCACTGACATGAGAAAATAATTAAAGAACAAGCTGACGAACTAATGAGGAATGGAACAGCCTGTCTGACATCATCACAGTGGACATCATCAAGTTTTTAAACATAATTAGAGATTTAAGAAAACACATGGCAGTCGATTTAATAAATAGCCCATAGAACATAGATTAGCCACACAAAACTTTTTTCGGGTGTGTTGGATTTTAATCATGGTAATTGATATTTGAACAATATGCAATAAATAGCTTATAGAAAAAGCGACGGTAGTTTTCACATAATTTGTTAAAAACTGTTATGATGGATTATCACCATGAACCATCATTATGAGCTAAATGAATTGTCATACAAAAGTTAGTGACCACTGTTTACAGGAAAATGTGTTATCTGTGCTAAATCTTCCTTTCAGATCTACAGTTCTTGTTGCTTCATATGTAACACAAACAACAAGGGGTTTTTAACCAAAGTCACCCACCCATCCACATACGATCTTCTCTATAACTTACCCAGATGATGTGGGTACTGCTCTCCCTCTAGTGGCTAAATTGTGAATATTTTACTTAGGGAAAAAAGTCTTATTTGATGTCAAGCAATCTGTTACAGAATATATATATATATATATATATACAGGGCCGTTTTAACCATTGGGCTAGGCGGGGCTGAAGCCCC